CTCACCGCTGCTGGAATGCATTCAGATCGGCTGGATGATCTTCGGGTCTGGCCTCCAACTGTGCAGTTCATCGGGAAAGACATTATGCGGTAAGAGCATTGCTTACTTCCACTCGCCTCGCAAGTGCCACATATATAAAATAATACTACTTATAATTTATCAGTAGCTTATTTTGAGAGTTTTTATTTCTCCAGGTTCCATGCCATCCTTTGGCCCGCGCTCCTTCTTGCTATTGGCCTGCCTTTACCTCAAAAGATTATTCCACATGCCCATCTCCTGGTTGATGGGATCAAGGCACGTAGGTCACTTATCATTCTTTACGTACCTTGCGGCCATTCACTTATCTCGTTCACACCGGAGAGTTCCATGCGTATTTAGCCCTGGGTTAAGTAAGTCTTTAGCAGGTTTTTTATTCCCCCAGAAATTAATTTCTAACTCATAATAGATCATTGCAGATGATCCGGATGTAGCCGGAAATTTGATATTAATATTTCGGTCAATGCCCATCATTCACTATGGGACAACCTCGTAATATTCATAAGCTGCCCGTTGTATATCCTCCGCAATTATTGACCGGAAATAATTTCTGAGGAAATTAAGAAAACGGATACTTCAAAACTAGAGTATTTACCAGAAAACACACAGTGAGTGCTGCGGTACCCACGCATGAGTCGAAATCCTCACAGCTATGCCGTTTAGCGACAAAAGACTGGGGAAACACACGTGTCTGGGCTTTTGGCCAGTACTTATGCTGCCAGCACGTAGTCAATAATTACGTAGATTAAAATATTTAGCAGCTGACGGGACCCCTATATCTGATTGAGGAAGTACTCGATGAGAACCATCCGGTACCCTGAAGTATCGGACGAGAAGTCTTGATTATTCGAAGCTTCATCCATCATGCCTGAGGTCGCTAAGCGACAGCCTGATGTCACTCAAGTACGAGCCTCAAGGCATACCGGGACAAATATATGCCCTAATCAACTAGATCGGACGAACACCCCTGTTCCTTCACTCATCGCTTTTATGCTGTGGATACTTTCCCAAATTTTGTGTTTATTGTTCTTCGTAAGGGAAAACTACCAAAGTTACCGTAGCTCCCTCTTTAAAAAATTGTCCTGTCTCTCCGGTACTCCCGTACACTCCACTGTTTATTTGCTTATCGTGTGACCATTTCATCAGCGATTAATCAGGCCTAATTTCCGGTCCTCATCCTCCCTTCTTTTGCTCAGTGTGTATAAAATGTTGTTCGAGGTGGTGCCTAGCAAATTGCAAATTCGTTACTATCTTCGTGGATGGATGTCTATCGATCGATTACAGCTAGCAGTTGCACAGCGGCTACAGCTCAGTATATTTAGGGTATTAGGCAATGCCTTTGAAGACCCTATTGAAAACAGTATGCATAAAACATTCAACATAAAATGTTACTATAAAATAGCGAGTAACATATACACATGTACAAATTTTAGCTGCAAATATGACCAATGTGTCGGTGAAAGCAGTCAATGCTCTCTTGTATGCATAAGACATCCAACATAAAATACGTTACTATAAAACAGTGAGTAGTATATACACATGCACAATTTTTATCTGTAGGTTTGACTAATGCGTCGGTGACCACTGACAATGCTTTCTTGTGCACATGAATGGTGTCTGTTAAGTGAATACACATCCAGCATATAATATTAAGCAAGACAGTGAGCACGTGAGTCACTGGTTAGAACGTTGTACTTCCAACCAACAGGTCGCGAGTTCGAGCTTCGGGTGGTGCAAAACCCGGGACTGTGTACGACCAGTTGATGAGGGCTAATAAGCCAGAAATGGCCATTCCAGTGTCCCTTGTCTTTGTTGGCAATGTGCTGCCTATATTATCAGCCGCCTTGTGGCTGCGAGGGGGCCTC